TAAATATTTGACTTATATGCAATCATTATAAATTTTATAAGATTTTACAAATACAAATACAAATCACAGAGCAATTAATTTTTTAAATATATTATAATGAATTATGTTCTACTTGAAAAAAAAAATTATATTCACCAAAATATCTCCAGAATCATTTTACGAGTTAGAAGAATTAAAATTATGACTTTAAGGTTCTTTTTAAAATCAGCCCTAGTTAATAATGGGTTAAAATTTACCAATAGGATTTTGCATAGCCTTTCAATGTTTTTTTATAAAATTCATGAAATTAATACGAATATATTTTTTCTGGAAAAAAGAATTAGAAGTATTTTTTCATCATCATTTTTATAGCAATATGTAATTGCATAAATAACACACATAATTTGGCTAATGGCATTTGGGTACATTTTACATAATTTTTTTACACCGAAATAAAATTGTATTATGTTAACATTTTTGTTAAATATTTAAATAAATAAATTAATAGGTATTTTAAGTATTTTACCTTTTGCAATGGACCTCCAGAATCACCTCCACAAGAATCCATCCCAACAACTCCACCAACGCACATTTGAGAAATTCCTATGGTTGTTGTTTTTTTATATGCCTTGTTACATTGCTCATTTTCAACAATTGGCAACTAAAATTAAATAAAAAATCGATATTAATTTGTATCAATTTTTATCCTATTGCTATTTATTTTTGTTCGATTTGTAGGACTAGTTTTTATTTAACATTGATTAACAGAGATTGTTTGGGAATTGAATTGATGTACTCAATTTTTTAATACTTATTTGGTCTTTATCATTATTAGTATTGTTTTTATTATGAGCCGAAACCAAAATTGACAAAACCAACCAAAATCCACCGAGATTTTGTTAGAAGGACGTGGAGATTCTAATCCAATAATTCAGTGGTTACTTTTGAAATTTTCAATACTTAATCATCTTAAATAATTTTAGTACTATTTTTGTTTTGGTTATATTTTACTTGATTTCTAAATATATTTTTATAATCCAAAATTATATTAATATCCTGTTGATAGAAATAATGTGTCAATTACTTTCCGAATTGTTCAAATTTCGAATATATCACGATTTTCTACTATCCATAGTGATTTTTCTATTTTTTTAAATTTGAAGTAGATGTTTTAAAAAACGACATTGTATAAACTAATTCTAAAAATATTTTAATTAGACATAATGTTTTTTTAGTGAAATTGTATAAATCAACTTGTCTATCATATTGGTACGAGTCTTATTCAATAAATGTACCATAATGTATCATATATTCAAAGATTACTTTTTTAATTTAATATTTATTTTATATCATACTTTATTAAAATACCATGCTTCGAAATAATGTTCACGCTACTTTTTGGATTATGTATTAATTGATTATAAAAATATTTTAAAATTCAAAATATATCACTATCATATGGATGATATCACGATTTTATACTATCCATTGTGATTATGCTATTTTTTATTGTAAGTATATATTTTAGAACCCGTCATTGTAATAAATAATTCAATTTTAATAATTATAATCAGATATATTGTTTCTTTCAGAAAAATTGAGTAAATCAACTTCTTCGTTTTCTGTCATATGGGTTGGTCTAATTTAGATATTCATTTTATAGTCTATACGCTATAAATTTATTTATAGTTATTTATATTCTATATATTATAATCATTTCATATAATACAACTCCATACGATTAATGAATGCAATAACTACTAAACCTAATTAACGAAACTCTAATTATGGAAAAAAAATCTTTTTACATTGTAATTTTTTTTTTTTCAAAGTCAATTTTATTTGATTTGTTTTAATACAATCTCATACTTCCATTTATTGTTGTTTTGATGATTTTCTCAAAAAACATCGTAATTTTGCGGTATTAAAAATTTGTGAAGCATTTTTGGCAGCGATAATTTTTAATTAATCTTATTTACTTATTTTACAAATTAGAATTTTGAAATATGTAATACAATTTTTTATCAAGCATTCTAATTTTATAAAGGCA